ACAAATCAGTTCCGTGACCGAAAGCAAAGAGATCAAATGTCACGCGAGCATCTCGCTTGTTTTGATCCGAGAACCAAATGTCGTATTCTTGCGCAAAAAACTCGTATTTTGCAGCAAACTCTGCAATGTTTGGTATCCAAATTTTCAGTGAAAAACAAGCTTTCTAATGCTGTAAGGGACTCTGGGATATGCCTTAAGCTGACGGTAAAATGGGTCAGCAAACATAACGACGCAGCTTCAAATATATCGCGGGAAAAAGAAAATATATTTCCTCTCTACTTTCGCCACTTTCGACCGGAACTTTCTTAACTATTTTAGTGTAATATTTTAGAATTCTCAACGGTTGGATGAAATACGTCAGACAAGTTAAATTTACTTGATGTGGAGAAGTTTAAGAACGCTGTTAGTGTCGTGAATGATCGTTGCTTATAATATCTTCGCTAGCAAAGGGTCTCCTTTGAACTTTCAGCGGATAACTTAGTCATCGCCGGATCACCGCTGAACGACCTCGCAGAACAAGAAATGCCCTGCCTTCGTTATGTAAGTAACCATTTCTTGTTTGACACATCGGTGTTTTCGCTCGCATTGTTATTTCACTGTTCCGCTTGGAGACACACGGTTAAACAATACTCGCGTGCAAGGAGTTAAGATTTAACTTATTAACTTTTACAAACTTTTACTATTTTTATCATCCAATGACAGGTCGGAGCCATTCCTGTATTTAGTCGCTAGTGGATTTTCTCGAAGACGCCATGTTGCCTCATTAGCGTAAATTCATTAACTGGCCCGCTGCTTATGCGCGGGCTCAAATGTCCGGAATTTCTGGCCATGCAAATTCTTGGTTGCTCCAAGAATTTCAGTATTTCGATTTTGTACGTATTTTTAGTTATTGGTGATGGATCTGAGCTCGAAAAACTGAAATTTTTTTATCTTGTTTTGCAGCGGGCGTTAGACCTCAATGTTCATTGCCTTTGAAAAGTTGGATTTTCATCAAAACACCGATCATCATGAAACTGAGACTTTTGTCTTTGAAAGGTTAGCGATCTGTGCGTAACGACTGACGCTTTGTAAAGTCATTTTCCAGTGGGTGTTATTTGCATAATATCGATTGCGGAAAAAATGTGAAAAACCAGATGCGGTTGAACAGCATCATGTTCTAACATGACGAAATTTCTAGCCGTTTGTTATTCTTGTACCCTTTCACTACCAAGATCCTATTAGTAATTCTACTAACTGTTTTCCATACAATTCGTCTGATGTCAGTTGGGAGAATTTCGTATTGGATCAACCAATCCCCCAAGTGATAATTTACTTTATTCTCATCACTTGTCTACCTTAAATTGTAACGATGCATTAAGGGGAAACTTCGTCTTGGTCAGCCAAAGGAGTTAAATAATTGTTGTGTAAACTAAATATGATCTGTTAGTTACGTGCCTCTATAGATATTTTACAGTTTATGCACCATGTTCACTCACCTGTGTCTTGGACATGGGTAGCATATTTCAAAAGGGAGAGTAGAGAGTGCTACTTCATCCGTATTTTGTTAGAGTTTATGTGCATGTCAAGATGTTCTCAAATCATGAATTGCGGTGGATTGGTGACATGCACCGATAGACCCCCTTAGGTACAGCCCCCCCCTCCCCTCCTGAGGATGAAACACTGTCGCCCCCAATTTCTGAATGGCTTGAATGGAAATGAAAACTGTCATCAAACGTATTTAGTAAAACATGAAAAACCGAAACTGGTTATAAATCGTAGAGTTAGATCAGGAAAAAAATATTAGAAAATTTTTTTTTCTTAACCTAAAAAGGTGTATAATGAACAGGGCATTTACTAACTGTACAACGTCTCAAAATGAATCGAAAAGAATATATGTCTGTCAAAAGAAAAAAAAAAATATATATATATATATATATATATGTCTATCCTAATTCAAAAAAACAATGCAAAGATTGAACTCCTTTCTTTCACCGTGAAATCGAAAGACTTAAAAATCACAGATTACATAGATATTTGAATATTCACGCTTTATTCCCAACAGGAAAACAACTCTTGAAAATGAAACGTTTATATTTCTTTGCAAATTTTACGAATTTAAGTGTAATTATCAAATGAAGGCCGTGAGAGCCGTTGTCAATGCAAATGCAAAAAATTGAATTACGCTATCGGAAACAGTTGTCTCCTGAAGCGTTGAATACATCATTGAGTTACGGAGCGAAAGAAGGGAAAAATTGCATGTTTTCCTATACGGCCATCATACTTGTCTTTCCTGTAACGTCTCCAGATTGAGCCCTGAACGGTTCTGTCCGACATTTTAGCGAACAACTTGAGAGCAGAGAACCACTGGCTCAGAGAAAAGAGATGGGAAGGCTAATTAATCAATGTCCTACAAATTTGAAGTTATCTGCTTCAAGCATTTATTGGTTGTTTTGCTTTTGGAATTTGGATGGCGTAACAAGAAAACAAACAATCATGAATTCCATACTTTTGTGCTGTCTAAAGGGTGAAGTTTCTAATCATCAAGTACATTATCATAAATATTCTTTTTCTTCCATGGCCAGGGAAAACTGACATCGATCAAGGGATTTGAGTCAAGATCCTTTGCTTGTTTTAATCAGTGAGTTTATTCAGAGCTGATCTACTCAGTTTCATTTTCCGTGCGTGAACTGCGTGACATCGTAACGAACCGCTCAGAAAACATTACCACTGTGACCTCCACCTGAAGGGTCTTTTATTTTTATTCTTCTCACTAAGGATTTGAGATCGGATTACTTATCTATGATTACGGAGATTATTTACGAAAAGAAAGAAAACCAGTCCAAAATATTTATCTGAGGGCAATCGCAAGCGGATATACAGGAAAGGAGAGTCCATACCAAACGAGCAGCATATCTCAATCATGTTTGGGTCGTATTACAGAATGACGTCAGTGATAAGAACTAAAAATGAAAAGAAGTACATAAAAATCGAGGCTTTGTTAAACATTTTTAATTCTACTCAGAATCAGAAATAAATTCCACTTGTTAAATTACATTCTATCAGCTCCCGTCAAAACGAATTCTCTCCAACAAGGTCAACCATTACATGTTGTGCTTTAGCGCCAACCCCTAAATGAGTCCTGAGTTTCTGAAACAAAGGGATGAAAATTAGGTACATTTTTTTCTTTCACGGGAAGGAAGGTAAGAAAAGATCAATGATAAGAAATCAACCCAAATTTTTTGTTGCTTATGTCATCACGTGCATTTCGGTTTTGTACGTCTAATTTTGACCACTGATGATAAATCTGAGCCTGAAAAACCGAAACATTTTATTTTTATCTTGTATTACAGCGGACGTTAGGCCTCAATATTCATTGCCTTTGAAAAGTTAGATTCTGAGCTGAACATGGATCTCAGTAAAACCGAAGATTTTGTCTTTGAAAGGTAAGCTTTCTTTCTCCAACAACTGATGTTTCGTGAACTTTTCATTTTCCAGTAATGTGTTTTGCATACTATCGATCACAAGCAAAATAAGATCAAAGAATACCTTTGAACACAAAAAACTTGTGGATGAAGTACTCTAGATATGAAACACGTTTATGAATTGCAATTAGTAGTCTTGTAGCAGTTTTTGCGTCATAAAGATTAAAGCTACTGAAAAACTCCAAAAAAGTCAAGAGGTTTTCTTCGCTCTCACTCTGTGATTTTGCTCGAAAGCAAATTCAAGTAACAGAAAGCATTTCCAGTGCACGCAAAGTTTTTTCACCGATTGAAATTTATGATATGCGGCGATGAATTCCACAGGTTTTCTTCTATTAGAAAAGCTCAGAAGTATTTAGGAACGCTACAAAAGTGCTGCCAATTTTTATTTACGTAAGATAAATCCATGATGATGGCGTCAGAATCGGGCGGGCTTGGGATGAGTAATAACCACAGTGTCAGCCAGCAGAAGTGCAAAAGGAGACTTACATTGTATCATTTTTGAGGCGAAAGAAACTAATTGCTTTCCTTTACGTTCTTCATGGTTGTTGGTTCCTTGGAAGGGAACAAATAAATATTTTGCCAAGACTGAGCTTTGCAATGTTCTGTCCGACATTTTACAGTATAACTCAGTTCAAAACAAAGAATCACTGGCTCACAGATAAGACTTTGGAAGGTTGATTCATTTGAAGTACGACATTTGAAGTTATCTGCCTTAAGAATTTTTTGTGTTTGTATTTAAGAGTTAAGTGGCGTGACAGAAAAAACAAACAATAATTTTGCTGAGTTCCCAAATTTTGTGTTGTCTGAAGGCCGATGAACTTCCATGTCATCAAGTTCATTTTCAGAAAGATTTTTTCTTCCTATTGCCGGGGGAAACTGACCTCGATCAGGAGATTTCGGTCAAGAAAATTTGCTTGTTTTAATCGGTGAGTTTATTCAGAGCTGATTTACTCATTTTTATTTTCCTTAATTATAAAATGCGGGAAATGTGTGACACCGTAACGAATCCCTTTAGAAGACGTTACAACTGTAACCTCCCTGTGAAGAGTTTATTTATTTTTATTTTTCTCGCTAAGGATTTGAGATCGGATTACTGATCTAGTATCATGAAGACTAGTTGCGAAAAGAATGAAAGCCAGACCAAAAAAGAAAAATCCGAGGGCGATCATAAGCGGGTACAAAGAAAAGGAGAGTCCATACCAAACGAGCAGCATATCTCAATCATGTTCTGGTCGTTATTACAGTAACGACATCTTTGATGAGAACTGACAAAAATACACTCATAAATGAAAAGGAAATTGCAAGCAACAAGATCTTTTTAATCATATTTAATTCGAGTAAAACAAAGGGCTGAATAAAATAAGTTATTTTCTATCACTGGAAGGAAAGCAAGGGATGATGTTTTTAACTATTTAGCCAAATCTTTGGCTGCTCCGCATCTCACCAGATATTTCGGTTTTGAACGTCAAACCTAAGTTATTGATGATGGATCATCAATTAAAACCGAAGAATTTTTTATCTTGTTTTACAGCAGTTGCTAGGCCTCAATATTCATTGCCTTCAGTTTGAACAGTTGGATTTTGATCTAAAGATAATTGTCAATAAAACCGAGGATCCTTTCTACATAGGGTAAGCTCTCTGTGTGTAATGACTGACGCTTCATGAACCACTGTAAACTTTTCATTTTCCAGTGCGTGAATTCTGTATAATATCAATCACATACAAAATAAGATCAAAGAATACCTTTGAACACAAATAACTTGTGGATTAAATAATCTAGAAATGTAGTATGTTTGTGACTTTCAGTTAGTAGTCTTGTAGCAAAACTTGCATCGTAAAGATTAACGTGAATGTAAGAACTCCGAAAAAGTCTCGAGGTTTTTTGGTCTCACTTCGTGAGAATAAAGAAATTTTTTTTACCTATAGATGTAAGGTAAGAAGAGATTTCAAGATCTTTTAATACAATAGATCTGAGCGTGAAAAACCGAAACCTTTTTTCTTTTTTTTTACAGCGGACGTTAGGCCTCAATACTCATTGCCTTTCAACAGTTGGATTTTCATCTAAACACCGATCACTATAAAACTTGGGCTTTTGTCTTTCCAAGGTAAGCTATCCGTGTGTAACATCTGACGCTTTATAAACTTTTCATTTTCCAGTGGATGTAATTTTCTTAATATCGATTGCGGACAAAATAAAAAAAGGCAGACGCGATTAAAACGCATCATGCCCTGCCATAACGACATCTAAAGCCATTTGTTACATTATCATAAGGATTCTTTTTCTCCCATTGGCAGGGAAACTGACCTCGATCAGGAGATTTCAGTGAAGATCCTTTGTTTACTTTAATCGGTGAGTTTATTCAGAGTTGATATACTCAGTCATTTTCATTTCCCTTGCGTTAGTTGCGTGACTGCGTTACGAGTCCCTTAGTGACCTCTATGCTGTCTGAGATCACTGGAGTCCTGGCTCTCCAGTATGGTGTTGCTATGCGGTATCTATGCACGTGATCTCTGACTGCAAAAGGCCTATTAAATAACTGATCTAGGATCACGAAGATTACTATCGAAAAGATAGACAACCAGTCCGAAAAATCTACCTGAGGGCGATCGAGAGTGAATATAAAGGAAAGGAGGGTCCATGCCAAACGAGCAGCATATTTTAATCATGCTCTAGTCGTAAACACAGTTATGACATCTGTGATAAGAACTGAAAAAATTACATTCATAAATGAACGAAAATCTCAAACAGCGCGGCCTTGTCAAGCATTTTTAATTCCACTCAGAATCAGAAATACATTCCAGCCGTTAAACTGCATATTATCAGCTCCCGTCAAAATGAATTATTTCCTGCTACATGTTAATCCGACCTCTTCAAAGTCAGTCATTTCATGTTGCGCTTTAGAGCTAACCCCTGAATGAGTCCTGAATTGGGTGTTGGAAAAACTGAATTCAAATAAAACGAAGAGATTAATTAATTTTTTTTTTCATCAAACACTCAGGGGGAAGGAAGATTAGAAAAGAACGATGTAAAGAAATTTAGCCCAATTTTTCCTTACTCCACATCAGCAGATGTATTTCGGTATTGTATGTCTCACTTTAGTGACTGATTATGGATCGAGTGTGAAAAACTAAAACCTTTTTGTCTACCTTATTTTACAGCGGACATTAGACCTCGATATCCATTATCTTTGACAGTTGGATTTTCATCAAATGGCCGATCACTATAAAACTGAGGCTTCTGTCTTTCGAAGGTAAGCTTTCTGCTATCTGCGTGTAACGACTTACACTTTACAAACGTTTTATTTCCCAGTGGATGTAATTAGCATGATATCGATTGCGGAGAAAATAAGAAAAACCAGATGCGGTTAAAAGCATCTTGCTCTGACAGGACAACATCTCGAGCCATTTGTTACTCTTGTGCCCTTTCACCAAGATTCTATTAGTAATTCTTCTAATCGTTTGCCATGTAATTGTTATGATGTAAGTTCGCAGTATTTGGCATTGGACCAACTAATAATCCCCTGGTGATATTTTTTTTTATTCTCATCACTTGTCTGCCTTGAATTATGACGATGTAGTAAGGAGAAATTTGGACTTGATCACTTAAAGGAGTTAAAGGATTATGGTGTAAACTAATTATGGTCTGTTAGCTACGTGCCTCTATAGATATTTCAGAGCTTATGTGCCATGTTGATTTACCAGTGTCTATGACGTGGGTAGCATATTTGAAATGGGCAGAGTGGAGGGTTTTACTACAGCCGTATCTAGGGAGAGTTTATGCACTGGTCAAGATGTTCTCAAATCATGAATTGCGGGGGATTGGTGACATGCACTGGTAGACCCCCTTAGGTACTGCCCCTACCCCCCCCCCTCCCTCATTCCCAATTTGTGAATGACTTGAAAGGAAATGAAAACTGTCATCAAACGCATTTAGCAAAACATGAAAAATCCGAAACTGGTTATAAATCATAATATGAGATCAAGAAAAATATTACAAATTTTTTTTTGTTAACCTAAACAGGTGAAGAAGGAACAGGGCATTTACCAGTTGTACAAAATCTCAAAAAGAATTGAAAAAGATATATGTCTGTCATGAGTACATAAAAAAGGATGCCAAGGTTGAACTCGTGTATTTTACCGTGACATCGAAAAACTCAAAAAATCCCAGGTTACATAGATATTTGAATATCCACGTTTTATTCCCAACAGGAAGAACAACTCTTGACTGAATGAAACTTTTATATTTCTTTGCAAATTAAAAACAAAATTTAAGCGTAATTATCAAATGACGTCCGAGAGAGCCGTTGTTAATGCAACTACAAAAACATGAAGTATGCTATCAGAAACAGTTTTTCCTCTAAATCATCGAATACATGACTGATTTACGAGGCAAAAGAAGGGAAAAACTGTATGCTTTCCTTTACGACCATCGTACATGTCTTCCTTGTTGCGTCCCCAGTGAGCCTTGCGCCGGTTCTGTCCGACGTTTTAGAGAAGGAGCGTTGCAAAGAAGGTCGCCAGAACAGCGTTAAATGGATCGTAAAGGACAAAGAAGCTACGAAAAAAGGATAGGAGACCTCGTACGATATATTCCTCGCTTTTGTTTTCCTTTATAATTTTTTCTCAATTTTTTTTATAATTTTTCCTATTTTACAGTTGACTGTTGACACCGCAGACTTTACAAAGAAAGTCGCCAGGCAAAACAGCGTTAAAACGACCGTTTGCAACAAAGCGGCTACGATAAAAAGGTAAAGAGACTTTGCATGTTTTATTCCTCGCTTTTATTATCCTTTTAAATTTTTCTTTTTTGTTCAAGTTTGTCCTTTTTTTAACGGCCTACACGTACGGTTGAAATTCGATCTTAATGTGTAAATTATTACCGTTAATGCACTTTGCACCCAAAGTCACACAGAGTATGCTTGGGGCACCTGTGATATCTATAAATGAAAAGAAAATTGCATTCAACCAGGTATTTTAAACATTTTCAATTCCGTTCAGAATAAGAAATGAATTCGACTTGTTGACTTGCAAACTATCAGCTCCCGTTAAATGAATTCTTTCCAGCTGCCTTCTGTGCTCCAACTTTTGCCACCCAAAGTCAGCTATCACATGTTTTACTTTAAAGTCAACCCCTGAATGAGTCCTGAATTTGGCTTCGGAAAAATTAAATGAAAATAAAACGAAGGAAAGATGTTTTTTTTTTTCCTATCACCGGAAAAAAGGTTGGCAAATATATGGATTTTTAAAAAATCTAGCCAATTTTTGCTTCGCTCCATCTCAGTAGATGTATTTCGGTTTTGCATGTCTAACTTTAGTTATTGATGATGGATCTGAATGTGTAAAACTAAAACCTTTTTTTACTCGTGTTTTACAGCAGACGTTAGACCTCACTGCTCATTGCCTTTGAACAGTTGAACAGATTTTCTTCCTCCCATTGCCAGGGAAAACTGAGTTCGATCAGGAGATTTGAGTCAAGAACCTTTGCTTGTTTTAATCGGTGAGTTTATTTAGAGCTGATATACTCAGTTTCATTTTCCTTACAATGCGTGAAATGCGTGACACCGTAACGAACCCCCTCAAAAGACATTGCAGCTGTAACCTCCATGTCAATAACAGCATCATGCTCTAACATGCGACATTACAAGCCATTTGTTACTCTTGTAACCTTTCACTTAGCAATTCTTCTTACTGTTTACCATACAATTCGTACGATGTCAGTTGAGAGAATTTTGCATTGGATCAACTAGTAATCTCCCACTGATATTTTTCTTTATCCTCATCGCTTGCCTCCTTTAAATTGTGACGATGCAGTAAGGATAATTTTTTTTTTCTTGCTCACTCAAAGGAGTTAAAGGATTATGGTGTAAATTAATTATGGTCTGTTAGCTACGTGTCACTATAGATATTTCACAGCTTATGTGCTGTGTTAATTTACCATCAAGGACGTGGGCAGCATATTTCAAATAGGCAGAGGGGAGAGTGTTACTACAGCCGTATCCTGTTAGAATTTATGTGCATACCAAGATGATTTCAAATCCTGAATTGCGGTGGAGCGAGAGACCCCCATAGGTACAGTCCCCCCACCCCTCCTCCGAGCACCATATGAGGCACTGTTATTGCCAATATGTGAATGACTTAAAGGGAAATGAAGACTGTCATCAAACGTATTTGGTAAAAACATCAAAAATCGGAACTGACTATAAATCATAATATGGGATCAAGAAGAAAAATACTAGAATCTTTTTTTCTCAACCTAAACAGGTGTTACGAACGGGACGTTTACCAATTCTTCAAAATCTAAAATGAATTGGAAAAAATATGTCTGTCATAATTATAAAAAAAATGATGCAAGGGTTGAACTCCTTTGTTTAACGAGACATCAAAGAATTAAAAATTCAAAGTTAATTACATTTGTTCAAATACTACCCTTCTTGTTTTAATATTGTGGATTCTGCTAACAACTCCATTGATTTAAAACTCAAAGAAGCTTTTTATATAAATAAGATCAAACCTGAACATAACAAACAATTACAACATTACAACACTTTTCTAGCCTTCTAGTTTACACCTTTGATGTTTTGGCGTCACGTTGTAATTAGTACCCGCTTTTGTATTACATCATATTGTAAATAATTTATTCATCTACTTGTATACTATATAATTGTTCACACTCAGTTACTCATTGACTGAAGATGGCATATGCATGCCGAAACATGTCTTTCAAAAAAGTTGTATATTTCTTACAAAATCTATCATACTTGTAATTATTGCGACCTTACGGAAAAACTAGAATTATGCTACCGGAAACAGTTTTTTCCCTAAACCATCGAATACATCACTGATTTACGAGGCGAAAGAAGGGGGAAACTGTTTGCTTTTCCTTACGGCCATCATACTTCGTTGAAGCGTCCTCACACTGAGTAGTAGATTTGATTGAATTTTTTCCGAAAGTGATTGGCTACTGAAGCCAAATCAGTTTCAAGTACTCTTGATAATGAAGTCAAACCAAGAAAATTTCAAATATTTTCTCCAGTTTTTTCAAGCAACTCTCTATTTTTTCTAATGTGTGTATATTCCGAAAGGTGTCTTCAGGCTAAGATCACTTGAACTTTCAAGCAAATCATCTATAATCACTTGTGTGGTGAAAATACATTTACTAGCCGTGGGGTGTAGCTGTAAAGGTTTTCATTGTGCTCTTTTTTTTTATCTTCTTTTGCAAGGAAATGATTAATAATCTTACAAAAGGTTTCAAAGTGCGCTAAGCACTTCCCATGTTAGGGGATGTTACTAAACTATGGATCAGCAGATCGGAATCAGCAAAACTTGTGGAACCAGCGGAACCAAGGGAGCCTGGGAGACCATTAATTTTTTTCATGGAAAAAATATTGAAATAAAGCTGAAAATACCTTAACGCTGTTCAAAATTTCGTTTTCGGGTATAAAGAAGATTACGCGTCACGTCAGTGAGAAAAAAGACAACTCATTTTACAAAACAACCCCGCCTAAAACGACTTGACCAGCCATTTACCACTTCCTCCCCTCGATTTCCCTTAGTAACGAAATAACTTCGGCCTATCCACGTGGGCTAATTTATTATGCGTGAACCTTTTAAAAGTTTCAGAAGTTTTTTTTTCAGGCTATTCACTTTCCATTAAAGAACTTTGACAAATACACTCAGTTCATGGCAGTTTCCATTCTTTCACCGGATCATGCAGGTATAAAGTGGTAAATCATGTTATATTTGTTATTTGAACAGATGGATGAGCCGTCTTTCCCACCCTGGACTACCCGCTTTGATTCCGCTCGAGGAAAAAAGTGCTTGAGCGGACTTACAAAGTTTGTAACTTTTGGACAATGTCAGCGATTAAGTCACAAAAAGCGGCAGTCAGAGCAGAGAAAACATAAACGACCCTAGTGGGTTTATTGTGCTACAAACACAGTTTCCCTTCTTTCCCGGCTCTCGAAATGAACAAGTTATTCTCGATTCTTAGAAAGGCGAAATCTTTTCGCTATATAAGAAATCCTTTAATTGAAAAAGCTTCTTCGGTGAAAATGGCTGGATATTCCCCTCGTGGTCTTTTTTTTTTTTGCGTTTTGATGGACCTCGATTTCGTCTCGGTCCATAAAAACGCAGAAAAGGAACTCAGCCAATATCTCGCCATCTTGACCTCACACTTGGTCAATAATGCCCATATATTCGGCTCGCTCTCGTTGACTGATTTTCTAATATTTGTTCCGGGGTAACGCTTATTTATTTTGTTTTTTTTTTTATTGAAATTCAAAGAAAAAAAGAGAAGAGGAAAACCCTTGAAACGAATCGAATTGGTACTTCATTAGCATATAGAGCAACACTGGAAGTTTTGAAGGGAACGATCATGGTCTCAGTTTGGATTGAGTAGGATGAGGGTGTTTCCACTGAGAGAACCAGCGATAGAAGTATATATTCTTAATATTTTACTGTCCTGGTAACACGCTAAATTTGGACATTATGACAGTGATTAATGTCTCTACGAGCTCCTGAAAGTTGGTTTAAATCAATTGATTCGATCTCTACAGTGATTAACGTTTTATGGATGATTCGCGGTACCTTACAAACAAAACTTTGTTTTGCTAAATGAAATTTTGCCCATCCATCATTGCTCCTAGCCTATTTTTCTTTCATTTGCCTGTTTTGTTTTGTTTTGGTTTTTTTTTTTGTCTTGTTCCTTTACGTCTGAGTTCTTTTTCGAACCCATCGCTAATCAATTTATTCTCTGACCAATTTCAATTTGAATTTCACCACTAATTTGGAATGTCGATTTTTTTAGGGGGGTGGAGAGGAACGAAAATTTATCTAACCGCTGTTTTTCAATCAGTGTACCATAACTTAACCCTGTTAACATAACCGCCCCCCGGTTAGCTCAATTGGTTAGAGCGCCGGTCGTGTTGTGCGGGAGGTCGAGAGTTCGAGCCTTGCACGAGATTACTGTGGTGGATGTCCTCCCCTGGGGTGGAATGGGTTGGTGTGACAGGGCCCCATTTAAACCAGCCTTAGCTGAACTGGGCTACCCTGTATAAATATTCGTAAATAAATACATACATACAATACAAATGCATATAATAAAAAGAAAACTCTCAAGGAAGCGAAAGTCGTAATTTCTTGTTTTGTTCTAGAACCGGATGTAGATTTTAAAAGCGTTAAACATGCAATTCAGTTTTCCTAGCGAAGAACACTTAAAACAGAAATGCATGTAGTTAGTGTGCATCGGAGCAGCCTTGTTCCCTCAGAATTCCCGAGGTCGCGTTGTCTTGACTATCTTCCATGTTTCGTCCGCCACCTTCCTACGTCAGACAATTGGATACGAATTCGGTTTACAGCGCGCTTGTCTTCGAGAGAGAGTCTACTGTACTTTGATTTGTCCTATCCCTTTGATGAACACAAAATGACCTCCTGAATTGAAGCAAATTGCTTTTACTTTAGTCTTATCGACTACCCTGCGAGCAACTTCAATTTTCTGGAACAGCTGTGTCATGGCGATGAGGATTGTTACATTGGAATGGTAAATAAAATCTTTTGAATTTTGCTTAATATCTGGAGTCAGGAGGCGAGCAGCGCAGATCAAATTGAATTTCAAGGTGATTCACGTTAGAACCGTCTCTTTCAACTTTTTTCAGAGATTTTCAAGAAAAGGTAAGTTATTTCTCTTTATTGTTG